TCAATCGACTTTTACGTTTCGTAGAATTAATTAACACATAATAAAAAAGAATTTACGTTGTACCGTAACTCAAACAACGTAAATTTTATTTCTAAAATTTTATTTTTAATAAAATAATGTTTTATTTAGTGATATTTGTAGCCCGCCCAAAACTATCATGTTTAACTTGTTGCAAACACTCGTAAATTGCTTATATGTTTATAAATTATCATCATAGACACGACAAACAGAATTGTTAAATTTATGTTTTGTGTTTTTGTCTTCTTGTTCATTCAACATCACATATCACAACGTATTGTTGCTTAAATTATGTTTAATTTAAATACCAAGCACCTCCTCTTTACAATTAGTTGGGTATAATGTTATAAACAATACAATAGGTCAATGAATACTAATTACAAATCTCTAAAGCCTCTCGAGTCTTAAGTCTAGTTGAAATCTAGTGAAAGATGATTAAATAGTATAATTGAATATTAAGTGATTTAAATGTAGTGAGGAATGCCTTTCAATGCAACTGAAGATAATGATTATGATTATGATTACTATAATACTATTACAATGTATTAGATGCGTTGTTAAACGCCATTTTGATTGATTGATTGATTGACTAAGTGATTGATTACTGCATTACACATTACTCATTGTGTAATTTAATTATGATGCGATAATTATATAAATATTATAGTTTACCTATAAATTTACACCTTCTATTTTATAAAATAGGAAAATAAATAATAATAACAGCGGGCGAAACGAATCGGATGTTTATTAAGTTGATTTATCGCGCGATTGTTCCAGATTTAAGTCGAGAATGAGGTCGGAGAACACAGAAAACAATCGGAATTGTTGCACGGTTAGCTGTCACATTAGGAAAACAATACAATACGTACTAATGCAAGTGAAATTTATTTTAAAATGCAATAAATATAAATTTATATAAATTTATTCACTAGCGACATCTACAACTCATGTATTTTGGGTTGCATACCTTAAACTTTTCATTTTTAACTTTTTTGTATTTTTAAGTACCTATTAAAAATTAAATTAATTAAACAATAACTGCGTGTATTTTCTACGAGTATTGATTTAAGCAGTAATAAATTAAACGCTTCTCAATAAACTAATAAAAACCAATAAACAGCTCGTTGGTAACGTGGTGATTTAATGATTTATTACCGCTGCAAGCGAAATAAAATAATAAAATTTCAATTATGACACATTGACGCCGCATTTATTGATCTGTAATATAATAAATCTAACGCACTAAATATGTATTACCATTACGTTTTGTACACTTGTGCATCACGCTCATTTTTCATCCATTTCTTACACGCGCGGTGATTAAGGACGACAGGAAAATACTCTCAATAAAAACGATACACGAGTTTCGTGTGCGTTTGATATTGATAGCCGTGGAAAACGAAGCGATCGAAAGTCGAAAGTTTGATGATGATGCACCATGGAGAGGTGTGATCTCCGAATGATTGATGAACAATAAAAGAGACGATCATTATCGTGAGCATTTCCATACATCACAAAGTGTAAACGTTTAGGTTTAAACCAAAAATAAAATTATTTTGGTTTATTATCTTTCCTAAACCAAACAAAAACAGTTTAATAATGATAATTATGATGATTTTACATTTTGATATTTATTTTCCTGTTATACTTTGAGGCTATAACTCATTATTAATAGTTTTAACAGTATTAACACCCACGGTTGAACGAGTTGAGAGTTTTTGGAAGCTTTGGGCAGCGCGATCAACACGAGAAAGTTTTAACAGTTTATTTTATCACAGAATAAGATAATATACGCAATGAGAGCATAGTATTTAAACAATAAATTTAAAATAATTAGTTCAAGAATAAATAGTTTCGAGAATGTCATCAGCGTAATTTATTGCACCTTATCGCACGCAGTGAATGGAATAAATAAGTTTCAATGAGTCGTTGTGACCGATGATGAAGTTGTGAATGGTTTCGGCGATTTGAATTTATTTAGAAGCAAGTGCAATCGATGATAAGAGAGTCACGCAAGTCACATGTCATCAAAACAAGCCCCACATCTCTATTATATTTTCAGAGTTTACTTGAAAGCGTTTCAGCGACTTTCGCTTTCAGTAACATTAATTTTGTTTATGTCTAAATGTGAATGTTTGCATTGCGAGTATTTTAATTGCATTCCGCATGTTTAGAAATGTTTACAAACAGTTTTGCGGTTTTATTTTTTGATAGGACGCGGAAAATGGATGGAAATTTGTTTGTTACATTGTAGTCATGTGCGACAATAAAATGAAACGTGCTGTAATTCAGCGACACGCGCATAAGCATGAGTAACTTATGTCAAAACGTTAACTTGGATTGTCGAGCGTAAAATTTAAATTTAAATTCTGTTTCGACGCAATCATTAATTGATGGAACGCGCGCGACGAACAGACGCCGCATGCCATTTAAGTCCCAGTCTAGAATGCAAAAAGTAATATTTCCTGCTTTAATATTACATTTTTTAATTAAAAAATATAATTTTTCGGTAAAATACCGGTATTGATACCGGTTAACCGGTATTTTTTGGTTTCGGTTTAAAATTTACGCAAAAATTTCTATTTTTCATTGAAATTCACATTTCTACCATAAAATACCGGTACAAAAATCGGTATACCGGTATTTTTATGATCAAATACCGGTAAATTCCGGTTAATTTAAAAAAATACGGTTTCAACCTTGAAATACCGGTATTAAACTAAAAATTCATATTCCTTTGCATTTACTGCTATTCTTTTGAATGTTTGAACGCAGATTACTTTTATAGAAAGCAAATAAAAGTACGAGAAAGCCATAAAGACATCAACTCATAAAAAGGCAGGAATAAGTACTTCAGCATTCTTCCCGACATATGGCCGCGACCGATTCAGACGTCCTTTGATTACTGCATGGATGATTGAACCAATGTGTGCCAATAAAAGTTTAATCAAAGCCGCACGCACACAAACGTAAACAAAAGACGAAATGCAAGAAAAAGAAGTCTTCGGACTTAGTCTGAATGACCAGATGACCAAAATAACACATAAAATACCAAACATACGAAAATATTATTGATAAATATTCAGTTTTTAAATTGTATGGCATTAAACTGATGATTATGATCATGATAATGATGATTACATCGTTTAGATGTTTTATTTCTATAAATCTATAGATATAGTATGTATTAAACGGAGCTTTGAGCTTGCGCATTAAAATTGGCAGGCGTATCGTCGATTTAAAGTTGGTACGAAGACTTCTTATGGTAGCAATTTGCAATTTGTACCGAGTCTAACTGCATGCGGAGAGTTGGATGTGAGCATGACTGCTGTGGGCACGACCCAACCGTCAGGACGCAAATTATCGACTTCTAATATCCAGTTTTTCGTTGTTCTTTTCTACTGTTTGCTTGTAGTCTACTCACCGATGCTATTTATTGCTCGTTCGCACATTTTCAAATGGCTACCAGCATCCTCATCAGCTATTTTTCATATTAAATGTTTATACATCAAAATTTTTACCTTTAAAGTTTTTATTTCGGGATAAAAAGTACCCTATATCATATTTTGATTAATAACCTATAATATTACAAAATTTTATCAAATTTTCTTCAATAGTTTTTGAGTTAAAGAGGAACAAACAAACAAAATCACATTAACATGCGTAAATTTTGTTAGGATTATATTTAAATCGTTGTTTAAGGTGGGCTTTTCTGTAAAAGTTATAGGGATACTTGCCGCGTTTGGTAAAGACCTTCTAAAAGCCCCCGATACATATCTGATCATTGATGACATACCTCGATAACGAGACTTTGCGCCCGAAGAACCATATTCTTTTACTCGGGCAATACACGCGCGAGAGCGGCAGGTGTAATCTGTAATTTTCGATCTTTGTTCCTTCCCCTTTAAAACCTTTCAATTTTACACCGAGAACATCTCTGCGTCATATAATATTAATAATAATATGCATACATCTTTTGTTTTTGGGAGGTTATGTTGTGTTTTTTTTTGGCGGTGTAAACTTTTAAAGCTTTTTAACAGTTGATTATGTTATTATATCGATGTACACCCACAATTTCTTTTTCGGAAAAAGAAAAATGAAAAAGATAAAAAGAAGAGTTTTTATGATGTGATATTTTAATGTGTATTATGGTCGTGATTCGAGGTTATGTTGAGTATGATGGTATGGTAGGACAGTATTAATTATGATGTTACAAGATATTTTTTGATTTTATTTTGGGTGTTGTTCAGTTGTTAACATCTGACATCAAAGATGATTGGTGCGCGTGTGCCATCGACGAAATTTGAGCGTCACGTTACGCCCTCGGAATTAAATCGACGTGTTTTTTAAAATTTTTATAAAAAATGCGGTTTTTTGGAAGAATTTGCGTAAAATAAACATTTAAACGGTAAACTTTGGAATATATTATGATTACTTGCATTAGAAACGTTTAAAAATAGCAATTTTACACACAGAGTGTTCAAAAGTGTAATTTTACACACTCAAAGACTTAAAAACTTAAATTTTTGTGGTTATTTTGACATCAAAACTTAAATAATGCAATTTTTAGTTCATTTATCAAAGAAATTCGAGTTTTTTTTTCAATTAAAACACAAAAAAGTATAAAAACAAACTTGTGAAAGTGATATGTCAATATATCAACCAGAATAAAACAGAACTTTATGTTCGGATTCGGAATAGAATCAATGACATGTCGAAAGCGGTGCGGTGCAATGACTGAAAATTAAAGTGCGCTCGTTGCCAGTACGCTTTTATTCGATTTTTTACTGAACGCTGTTGGTATTTGGTGCAACGACTGCAGGACAAGATTAAAAATCGTAAAACGAAATTTACGACTTGGTAATACTTAATACAATTAAAAAACAAACAAAAAACTACAAATACTACAAATTCGAAACAGAATATGTTGCTGTGATTTAAACAAACACAATCAAAAAATAAATTAATTGATTTCTCACCTGAAGATGCATGATAAACGCATCGTGTGGGTGATTGTCATTGTCTGCACATAGATTAGCACATGATCACATTATTTCCACATAAGTTCTACATATTTTCGTTGAAAATTACTCCAAATGTGTGTTTTATGCACAAAAATGTTTAAAAACTGTCACAATGTATAAAATTCATATTAAAATTGGTATAAGTCGTTATTAAATATGATTATAAACACACACTGTATAAATATTATAAACGTTAGTAGTAAAATTCACATTTTTACAAAATTGAAGTTTTGAAGTTTTTTTGATTGATTTTTTCACTTTCCGCGTTTCGCGTCGCGTCCGCGTATGTTACACATACAGATATCTGTATCCCGCGTGTTTATGTTTAGCTTTTTAGGCTTAGCTTTCGCCTGTGCTTTCGTGTCAGCGGCTATGATCGCATTGCGGGATTGCGGCGCGACTCCGGCGAGTCCGTTCCGGCGTTCCCGACCAGCGTCCTCCCATTCATGCCTCGCGCACCGACACTGCCGCATCTATTCACACACGCAAATAAAACGTATAAACACAGGAATGTCAGGAACTACTACTACTACTACTTGTTTAAGTTGGTGTAAGCGAGCTGGGCAACAAAAGGCATAAAAATAGTTGCTATACAATTACATAATGGCGACAATGCGACAATTAGACAATGAAATGAAGCCTGATAAAATATTCACACGCAAAAAGGTGGATATTGTGTGTTAAGTGCGTAAAAATACACTTTTAAACACTTTTAATTCATAAAAATATAATTTCTTTCATTTAATAACTGTTTTTGCGAAAATTACATGAAAATCTTTAATTATTTGACAATTAAATAATAATATTAAGTCTGATAAATTACTCACACACAAATGGATGTATTTGGTGTGTTAAGTGTGTAAAAAAACACTTTTAAACACTTTTAAATCATAAAAAATCAATTTCTTTCTTTTCACTGCTTTTTTGCGGAAATTACGAAAAAATATTTGATTATTCGACCAATAAACAATAAAGTGAAGTGATTATTGTGTATTAAGTGCGTAAATATCCACTTTAAACACTTTTTAATTATTAAAATTTAATTTTTCGGTTTTTAGCGAATATGACACTCAAATATTTGATTATCAATTTGAAAAACGATTGAGATATAAATCTTAATCCTATGAATTTATCGTGCGGTTGATAATCTATGAATATGTATTCCTCGTGCTGATTGTATGTTATCTGACTAATTGCAAATTATACACGCAAGTTCTACGCAATCTCTGCGCCACACAGCGTACGAGTAATGATTTGAAGCCTTTCCACTCGTTTTTAACTTGTTCTTGTCTAGTTTTCTGTCTTGTCTTGTTGTTTTATGCAAATATGAGGCACGTAACGACGCTAGCCAAAGATCACTTGATTATGATAATTATTGCTCTTCTTCTTGGTGCTTCTAGCATATTTTTAAATCTTTACAAATTGAAAAATTAAAAATAGAAAGAATTTAATGTTGCCTACATATTTTGTTACCAAAACTAACTGTTTTCTAGTTTTTCTATTTATTTTTGATTTTTTGAAATTCTTGATAGTGAAACATTCTGTACATAAGTTTATACATGCCTACATCTCTATAGTTATTATACTGTTGGTTTTTGCAGTACAATTATACGATAAAGCATGATATATTTTCCTGCCTATCCTGCCTTTCTTCCTTGTGTTTGAATTTACCTGCTCGCTAACTACGCGTGCATGCGCGTTCGATTCTGATGCAATTTGCATTCTGCTCGTTTTGTTGTCATGTAGCCCATCGAGATTTATGTGCGCTGTGGATAGTTCATACATGCAATGCGAATAATCATTTTTAAATTCGTTATCAATAGGGATCATGAATTTATTGCATTATTGTCGTTATTTCCGAATAATTCATATAATTTATTCCCAACCCAACAATAAAATACCAAAAACGTTTGTGAATTGACTTGGGAATACTATTAGTATTAAATTTTGATAAATAATGCTTTGTTTTTGTGAAATTATGAATAATTTACTCTAAATTTTGAATTATTTTTTGACGAAAGTATTCTTTAAGTTATGCAACACACATTACACTAATATTACAGCGTAGTAGGCTAATATGCCTGAAAATGAATACAAAATTATTTTTGAATCAGTTTTTAATAATTAAATAGTTGTAATTTATAATATTTAATGATTTCAAGCGTTAAATTTACTCTTGATGTCTTTAAATGTTAACCTTGAAAAGCTAACCTTGATTTGAATATCGTAAATAAATTCCGGCTTTACTTGCAGACGAAAACCAGTTCAAAACTTCACTCGCAGTTTCAGACAATTTGACGTAACAAAACCAAAAATCAAACCGCAAATCTACAGTGTTCTTCTAATCGTGACTGCGATCGCTCCTGAAGACAAAACGTATAAAACCGGTAAGAAAATCTCTTTAAATTACTCTATATTCTCATAAAATGAAGGTTATTCCCTTAAATCAAACAGATCTATTAATACCGCAATAAAATAAAATGAAGTTGACTTGAATTAAACATAGAATTATCAGACACTAAATTTTATCCATTAATAATGGGCATATCAATCTCCAAAGTGGCACTCACAGCCTTTGAACTGGCAAACGAATTCTACATTGCTCTTGGTTCAGGCTTCTGGGGCATTGCAGTGCTGATAAATCATGGATTACAAAATCAAAGATATGGAGGCACATTTTGTCTGTCCACCATTACAGCAGTATGCTTGATTTATTTAATGAACAGTGAAACCATCATGGAAGCTAGCAAGAGAAAAATCATTGTCATCAGTGGTTGTGATTCTGGTTTAGGATTCTCAATGGCTTTGCATTTGTGTGACAGAGGTTTCATGGTGCTGGCTGGTTGCTTAGACATGAAATCTGATGGTGCAAAAAAGTTGAGGTCTGCAGGTGTGAGGAGTTTTGATTTGAATGTTACTAGTGTGGAGAGTGTAAGTAATGCTGTGAAGTATGTTTCTAAAGTGATTGAAGAAAATTCTGGAAATGGTAATGATTTATTTAATTTTTGAGTTTTGTGTTGATATAATTAATCATTTTTTATGTCTAGGACCTGCAGAATTATGGGCTGTTATAAACAACGCCGGAGTGATGGTTTTCGCAGAGTTTGAGTGGCAAACAGATAAATTAATGTCTGATCAAATCACAGTGAATCTCATGGGGAATATGAGAATGACGAAAGGATTCGCGCCCATGTTGCGCCAGTATCGTGCACGGTTAATCAACGTATCTAGTCATTGTGCATTGGAGAGTCTTCCAGGGTTGTCTGTTTATGGTGCAAGTAAAGCAGCCATTAAAGGTTTAAATTTCTCTTTAAATCCATTGAAAATTAATAAAAAATCATTTTATTACAGGTTTAACTGATTCTCTTCGTGTGGAGCTCGGTAAATACGGTGTGACTGTTATAAGTTTCATCCCTGGCTCCTTCCCAACACAGAGCAACATCCTTGCAAGGCAAATGGACTACGTTTACGAAATGCGCTCGGCATTCACAAAAGAACAAGAAGAATTCTACGGAGATTACTTTCAGCGATACAACGCATACCTAGGCTCCATTGCAAATCCTAATCCTGCCCGTAAACTTAATTATCCTGATTTATATCTACAATTGGAGCACGCGCTGCTCGCTAAACGACCGAAGTATCGCTACAAAGTCGAACCGCTACGTTATTGCATCTATCACGCGTTGTTTAGGTATAGCCCGTTATGTCTACGCGATTATTTCGTCGAGATGTTTGTCCGAATGCCGCGTTATGATCCACCGAATCAAGAAAGCATTCTTACACTCAATACGGTTATGTCTATGCGTTCAAACTATGACCAATCAACAGTCAGTGATGGATGGACTGATTCACAATATTCAAAGTATAGGAGAGAAGATGACACGTTCAGGTTTGATTTAAAAGAATCCCAAGAGTTGTTGGATGATGCAGCTGCGGTTGGCAAGAGGCTAACAAGCGTAGATTTGCGGCAAGCGCCACATCATCGTGAGACGTCCGTAAGTTCATCACAAGCTTACTTGTAATCTGTTTTTAAATTTTCAACGTTACTGTGTGCCATGAATCTTTTATAAAATCTATTTTTTGACTTAATTAGAATACATTAGAACATAAATTGCGCCCCCGGATTCATTTTTGGAATAAATTATAAATTGTTCGACTGGTGGTCGATGGCCTCCACGTGCAATTGTGGATTCTTCATCATATCCAGCGAAGGATCGTTGTCGGTGTAGTAATGTCCCAAGCGGGACATCATCAGCAACAGCACGACAATCACCAAGCAAACGATGAACATCAGCATGAAATATCGACGGTATATTGATCCGCCACGATGTGGTTGTGGTCCTAATGTATTCCTAGCGAATACAAATCAATTTATTTTGTTTGTTATGTGTTAATTTTTAATTCTTACTTGAACCAACGACGTAGCCATTCGGAAGCCGGCCGTCGTTTGTACTTATCATCATCGTGGTCGAATACTTTCCCCTGCGTTTCGCGTATATCTTGGAATCCGCGACGCGCTGCCTGGTAAACTTCGGTTTTCTCACGGATTATCATCGGAGACTGTTCATCCACGTGTACAACGGAGTACTGCGAGCTTGTGGGTGATGGAGATGCCGAAACACGATTGGAATTATGACCCGCTGGTGGTAGAATTGGTTTTACTTCGCGATCTTCTGATAACTGAAGAAAAATCAATTAAAATGAGTATTTTTTGAAGCAGGATTACTTACTAATGGTAAGCCTAGCCCTGCTCTGGCCCAATTCACACCAGCTAGCTTCTCCTCAACACATCAGCCACTGGACTGACTAAATTATGTGGTGGGAACAATGCTGTCCTGCAGGATGGACAGGTATAGCCTGCTGGAGCTGTAGTTGCTGGCAGATGCCTGGAGTAGTGATCCAAGCATCTCCAGTGAAAAACATCTATAAAAGAATAACTTTTAAACTTGCTTATCAGGTTTAAAGTTAATGAAACTTACGATAACATGTCAGTCTTATACAATCCTCAGTATTCAACTCATTCATGCACAATTCACAGATGGGATTGTAGTCAGAGTCTTGCAGCCATTGCAGATATGATTGAATAATACACTGGAAGAGAATTTCGGTGTTAAAACATGTGAATTGTGTAAATAAGTATTTATTTATGGCTTACTTTTGCGTGGTTTGTTACCATGCAATGTTCGCAGACGTTGACGCGATGTTCGAAGCAGAATTGATTCGTGACGCGCCGCTTTGGGCACTTGCAAAGGCCCATTGTATCACAGCAGCCTCCGGCTGGCGAAAATCACAAGTATTTGGCCTTTCTAGGCGACAAATTAAACAATTTGTTTAGCGATTGGACTCAGATGATAAACCGACCACGTATCTTGACAGTTAGTTTTTAAGTTTGACACGTACGCCCTTGGGATTAATTTATTAGTCGAAACAATCTAAATTAGCATAATTAATATTAACAACCTGCTTTATAGTTATACAAAATGAAGTAATATTGATTTATTTTTAAATCATTAGATGTAATAGAAGTTAGGACATATCATTTGTGAGGATACTCTATACTAGTTTGGTGTATATGTGGTTGCATAACTTAAAACATCACTTTCGTCGTTACTTTTTATTTGGTTGGCACTTCTGCTTAAAAGTTGGTATTTGTTTAAGCGTCTCTGATAACGGCCATTGTAGTTGTTGAAGAACGCGTGAAAAGACGCTAAAGTGTTTTGTGCAGTGCAAAATCTACAGATTCCAATAAGGTCAGTGTAGAAATTAATTACATTCAATCCTCAACGTTTTTATCTTTATTACAAGAAGAAAATTTGTATTTGAAACAACAGTAAAATATCTAGCATTTAATTAGATACTAAAATCTTAAAGTACTCATAGATCTCTTTAACTTAAATTACTATCTACATAGGTAGGCTTGTTAAGTACAATCAAGGAATGTTTTAATATTATTCTTTCGCTTTACTTCCTCTTGTCTTCTTCGCGTTACTTTCTATCTAAAACCTGCGCATTATTTTAAGATGTTTTGTTGTACTGAATAGTTGCATACCGTCGGCAAACGAAGCGTTTTTAAATGAACCATGTCGGTGAGTCATTTAAAAAACGAAAACTTTTGTCATATGGTTGGCAGGTGGTCGACTTTGTTGTTATTCTTCTGATTGTTGCTCTGCGTGAGCGGCATTTTGTACGGGCTGATTGGTTTCGTCGTTAGTTGCGGCAGCGTCATGCTTCCATTCGAATTCTACATTAACATTTGAACAAACACATCGATTCGTGTGGATAATTAGATGATTTTCACGCAAGGGATAGGTAAATACTTACCCTGGATCGGTCACGATTGTACTTTTCAAAGTTCAAGGTGTCTTCTTCGTCCACCTTGAAGTGGAACCCTTCGAAATACTTGTGTTGCAAGAGTTGCTCACATGTCCATCGTTTACTAGGGTCTTTATCAACACATTTCTAAATAAAAACAACCAAAAACATCTTATTTCCACTCCAAAATAATAAATTTCATTAAATACCTTGAGGAAATCCAATGAGACAGTATTACACATTGGTAACTTCATCTCCAAAGGCGTTATCTGATTGGGTGTAGGAAGATTCATCCCGCGAAAGAAATCATTCGTTTTAAACGCTTGCATATGCCTTGGAATTAGATCTCCCACAGTACACCTGATAAGATAAAGTTGATCCAGGTCTGATTTTCCTGGCCAAATTGCTTCCCCTTTGATCAATTCAGCCAGGACACATCCCACAGCCCAGACATCCACTGGTTTACCATACTGGGTGTCACCTACGAGTAATTCCGGCGAGCGGTACCATCGCGTGGCTACGTAATCCGTGTAATTTTCACCGGGACCTAGAAAAGTGAAAATATTACCCTCTGGGATGAATTAATGGTAATGCGTGACCAAAACTATTTCCGGTGATAAGTACCACTATAAATTATTGACCCACAAAAGTATTTTAATGGTTGACTTACTAAGCATACGCGCAAAACCAAAATCGCATAATTTCACAACTCCATTTGCTGTGAGAAGAATATTTTCCGGTTTTATATCACGATGGATACACCCATGACTATGACAATACGCAACTGCTTGTAGTGTTTGAAAAATTATCTGTTGTGTTAGACTTTCGGGACATCCTCGTGGATATCTTTCTAATTCATTCAGGACTGTCCTATCACAGAACTCAAACACAAGATGGAGGCGTCTCTTCCGTCTGAATACTTCCATTAGGTTCACCAGATTAGGATGTTTTAGGTTTTTCAATAGTCGTATTTCTCTGAGTGCGATTTTTCGTATCAAAGGATCATCTTCACTCTCAGCGAATTTTTTTATCGCGACTATTTCGCCTGTGTCACGATTTCTGCATTTGTAAACTAATCCGTAACTACCCTCGCCGAGTTTACTGATTTTTTCATAGCGTTCCATGTTTTTGGACGAGGTTCTTTGTCTGAAACATCATAATTTACAATGATGACAGTAATTTGTTTATTTTACGAATCAAGTGGAACAAATTACACAATCACTTTCTTATTGTGAGTTTCTATTTTTTCCACTTTCACGTGTTTACAACTTATATACAAACTTTGTGACATATCGTCTCATCGCGTATGATTGCACACGCCACACACACACAATTTCCAGAAGGAAAACAAACATAAATTGATTTTCCAAGCCGCGCGCGTTGTGCGTATTATTATATTCGAACGATACAAAAACGCGTCTACGAATGATACGAGTAGCGTCCGTGAATTGCGCGCGGTGTCATGGCTGCGCGGCGCATTACGTCGGAAGTTATGGAATTACGATGGAACGGAAATCGATAGTTTTAATCCGGAGAGAGTTGCGGTGAAATGTTTCATGTTGATTTTAATTCGTGTATTGATTCTATTGATGTATCTGATGAAAAACTTATGGCTACCACGTGGATAGGTACACTAGACACCGAATGGGACACGAATGTAATGAGGGTAATTGTAAAATGACGAATCGTAGGTCTGAAAATAGAGAATTAAAGAATGTGCACTAGATAAACATCAAATAATGGTGAATTATGGATAGTTAATCGGTTTTTATTGTTTTTGTTGAATGGTAAAACCGGTAAATGGACGTTTAGTGTTTTAAAACATTAATTATGCATCGTAAAATTATGAAATATTGGATATGGTCAGTAAAAATTTATTTTTCATTAGTAATTATCAATAAAATAATTATTAATGAAATATTATACGAAAAATATTAAAATATCTTGCGTAGTTTGGAAAATATTACAAAAAATATTTGAAAAATCAAAAAAATAATCAAAAACGTCGTATTCTTGTATAATATTATGAATAATTTATCAAGACATACAACAAGCAATGATTCATCATCTTTTTTCATGGTTGTCGTAGTCGTTTAGTTAAGTGTGCATATTTTATCATTAACATTGAACATGAAAAATAAATAAAAAAATACGGTTAGTTAATAAATATATTATAATACATCCTGTATATTGATTTTTATACGGATTATATGCTTGATATGTAGATTACGTAGAAGTGTTATTGAAACTTCTTGAAAAGTTTAAAACTTCCGCGTGATTTTTCGCTGATAAGAGAAACCTCGCATGCAAACCTCTCATAACACTACCTCTACTGTGGTGTTGGTATTAATCCCGCATTCAACACGCTTAATAAACGTTTCCATTTCGACGTCAATTACTCGTTCACCGCTGTAATTACATTTTTTCTGTGTGTGATTTGGTGTTTCTATCCTGCCAACCGCAGAATTATAACTTATCCTCGCGTGGTGGTGTTTAGTGTTTGCATTGTTATTATTTGTAGTTATTGGAAATGAATATCAATGTCATCGAAGGTTGCACGACAGCTAACTCTGCCAACTCGATTATTAAATAGTGGGCGGTGACATAAAAGGAAATTTCCGTCTTTACTCTTCTTCCTGAAGTGCATTATAAATTTATATCAAGAAATATTTAATCTATTTATGGTGCTTTTAAAGTTCAACGTGTCAATTAATTTTATATTGCGCAGCGTTACATGATTGACATGTTTGCACTCCTCTGGAGTTTCTTACCGTCTGGTCATTTGTACGATATGAGTAAATTTGATGTGTGTCAGAATGTTTAATCTATCATTTATGGGCTGTGGCACATAATGAATGGGTTTTTACTGCTCCAATTGCACAGGCACATCTTTTATTTAATAGATTATTTATTGAATCGTCAAACTACTTCCGAAGTTATCAAGTTTTAGTGTTATTTGATTTTTATGGCTTCTCTTTGACCTTTTAAGTTAGTTTTTCTTGTTTGTATTCACTTATTTTGTGCACTCGTTGACATTTTACTTTTTTTACTTTTTTTTGTTTTTATTATTTTGCTAATAGTTTGTGTAAATGGCAATTGCGGTTGTGATTTTTCCGCGCGTCGTCGACCACTAAAGGTATTTCAGCATTCTCCACGCCTGACATTTACCCTTCGGGGCCGGCTTATCGATTATACTCGGCGCGCGTTATCAGCGTTTTATCTTACACGCGAAAACCTAATGGCACGCATCCGATCGAATTCGCCCTGCGCGGCTCACCTCATTTTAACCACAACAAACGAAACACTTTCTAAATCTATTTGCGGGTTTAGGGTTGTGACCTTTTTTTGAAATACAGTGTAAAGTGATACCTTTTGGGTAATAACTGCAATTGGTTTCCGAGCAACCAGAGTTTGCTACCATTGAACCATTTCTCCATTCGATGGTTCACCCGCTGGGCCCAGCGACGATCAGCTGTGGTTGTCGTGCCGTGGAGGGATTCGTGTTGGGCACGTAGTCCGTCCCATGCCACGACTATCACGACACCGACTAACAATATCCCTCGAGTATGGATAACAACACCTACACGTTTGTTTGCTATGTCTGTTGCTAGGAAACACAAGCAATACAATATTCCTAATGGAAATATATTGCCATCTATTTATATTGGTCCCAAGTTACCTATTCAAATTCCCTAGGAAGCAAAACTCTCATTTTTAATCAAAGCATCTATGAACCTTCATAATTTAATCTAAAAAACCTCATTATCTAAAATAATAAAAAAAACATGTCGGGTCGATCGCAATGTTGGCGTCTACGAAGATTCCTCCGTGATATCTCTAATAACACAGAGGTTATCTCCATGGAAGATGAAGAACTCAGTGTTACCCAACGTTACGGTTTGATCTACGGAGGTAATACCCCTTTGGGAGCTAGGTGTGTAGCTGATCTCAAGGGTAAAGGTTGGTGGATTGCCTCTGCTGACTACTCGGTAAACCCTCACGCTGATGTGAACATTCTTCTTCAAAGTCATGAACCTCCCGAAGTACATGAACGAAGTGTAATATCCTGTATCCAAAGAGTTTTGGACGGTAAACTCTTGGATCTTATTTTTTGCACAAATGAAACCCTTAAAGAAGGGTCCATAGAAGATAACCTAATAAGTGTTGGTATGGATATGTGGTTAGCCCACGTGGCACCTTCGTTAATCTGTGCGAAAATCGCTGCGGTTTGTATGAAAAACTCTGGAGTTTTGGTTTTATCGGGAAGTACAGCAGCTATGAAAGCGAATGCTGATAAAATTGGTTATAGTATCGCGAAATCTTCAGTTGTGCATCTTACGAAGTGTCTTGCAATGCCTGGAAGTGGTATGCCTGCGGGTTCTCTGGTGATTTGTCTTATGCCTTTCTATTTGGATACACCCTATATACGCGGGTTGAATCAACATGTTAGTTGTGGGAGTTTTACTCCTTTGCAATTCATCTCGGATCTTATTATATCTTGGGGAATGAAGAAAAATTTACCAGGGAATGGTGCTATGTGTCAGTTGATCACCACCAATTCTAATACTGAGGTTATTTATAAGAAATAAATATATTTCAACAAAAATAGATTTTATTTTTATAATACAATTATTTACATCTCTATAAGCTTTTATTTTCTTATTTTAACTGAAATCGACTAATTTTTTGATTAGTTTGCTCTATTTGTTATAATAACTATTTTGTGCTAAGTTATTTCATTTTGGGTATTTTTAAGGCAAGTTACATGCTTTTAGAATGTTGATGCGTGGGCGTTTTGGCCTGCTCGGTCATAATATTCTCTGGCGGTGGTGTTTCGTCCGATTCACCTTTGACGGTGAATGTGACATAGTACCTCTTGTTTTGGTCCAACCTATCGGTGGGCAGTGAGATGATTTGTTTATCATTGCCGTGACACAACTCCAGTGTCACTGCTTTGTTTTTATTGATATCGGGCAGGAATCCTTGTGGTTTGCAAGCTGTACTTGCATAACCTATTTTTGGTATGGTGTGATGGTCCATCCTAGGCACTACAATAATTAAATTATTTTTATTTGATTGTTTTTAAAGTATTTAAAAGTACTAACGATATGCTGCGCATGGAATTCCTGTGTACGCATGCGTGGCATGCATACATCTGTTTGTAGATTGTGTACAGAATAAAGGGTTCTCAGTTGCAGACTCTGGTAATCCTTTGAGATATTCAGGAGCTGTTGTTTTTTGGATTTTTCGTAATGATTCATAGAGAAATTTCTCAAAACTTTTAAAAGTATAATCTTTGGGAATGTAGCGGCCACCTCCAACGGTTGCTGCGCATGTGCGGTGGTAGGCGTCTATAGCGCGTTTTACTAAAATTGCTTCGTTGTGTTGTCCGGCGCGTATCTGCATGCGTTTCATTTCTAGCAAATGTTGGAAGATTTTTCTTTCTAAATGATACCTGTGGTTAAAATTTTCTAAATCAGTTTTTATTCTTTTTTAAAATTTTAATAATTTTTACCTTCTAATATTACCCTGTATAGACTGTGTGACTGAAGTCATATTAACTCCACGTTCACTCACATTTTTCCACTTGGGAATTCTGGTAGACCTTGGACTGGGTTCAAACCCACTATCAATAAGATGACTGCTTTCGTAATCACTTCCAGCACTCTTAGAAGTCCTACTTTTACCACGTTTCTTTACTCGTTTACGTTTTGAATCTTCAGTGTCTTCCTCATCACTTCTTTCGGAAAACTCCTCCATACCAGCGAGATTTGTTTCTGATTTTGTTTTGTATTTACCTCCTAGATCAGGTAAAACTGGAACGCGTGATACTCTAGATTCTAAATTGCTCTTAGCTCGTCGTCGTCCATCTGCATCAGCTTGACTTACAGTCAATTTACTTCTCCGACTTAGATTCTCTTGATTTTTACGCTGTTCCTCACTACGAGACCTTAATTTCTTCTTTTTTACAACTGTTCCATTGGTTTTAGGAGTTGTAGATTTTCCTTTACCAATTGTAGTAGTCTGAGGTTGGATAACCGTAAAACTTTTATGTTCTCGTTTTGTAGCTGTGCTTGAAAATGACGATTCGCTATTTGCATCATCTAAACTACTCTCCATCTGTTCATCTCTTGGTAGATGCAAGTGATGATCACGTTTTTCAGATTTTAGAAACCTTTTTCTTTTAGTTTCATCAGGAGAAGATTGTGTATCTTCTGTTGGTTTCTGACCGGGACTTTCAGAATCTAACACCTCAAAAGCCTTCCCATCTTGGGGGTCTTCTATTTTTTCTTCTGCAATCACCTCTTCTGATTGAACAGTATCTGGAGGTATTCCAGAAGATTCTTGTGGAAGTACTTCGAATGCTTTTACATCATCACCTTCAGTTTCCGGAGCTGTTTCATCAATAGACAACGCATTTTCTTCTATAGTGGTTTGGAGAATTTCAAAAGCCCTTGCACTTGCATCATCTTCATCAGGTGCATTTTGACTATCTACAGATTCTCCTAAACCTGCAGGTTGTCCATCACCAACCGAAATTATTTCTAAAGCTGGAGCGGTATCATCTCCTGCAGGTTGTGGAAGTAATTCCGAAGATTCTGCTATTTTAGCTTCAATATCCGATGTCATTTTTAACATCTCTTCTCTGGTTTGTGCTGCAATTGCTTCTCCGAAAACATCAGCTGTATCTTCAACTGCAACTATAGTTTCTTCAATTGCAGCTATTGATGGTACATCAACAGGTTGTGCTTCTCCTTGAATAGTTGCAGCATCAGCCGCTTTAATCTCTTCCTGGTTTAACAACTCCACCCCTACTATTCCGGGGCTTTCTCGATCTAAGTCTGTACTTTGTGTTTGCAAATTTTGTTGAGCTAGGGTTTGGGCTTGAACCCCATGCTCAGCTTCGTTGTACACTTCAATTTTATCCTCGTCAGCCATTCTTTTAGCTCTTCTTCTACCACTTGAACTTCGACTTCTCATAGCGCTACCTTTGCGTGATTCAATTTTACTTTCATCTTTCTGCATCTTCTCCGCGGCTTTTTCTAACTCCCTAACTTTTTTCTCTAAACCTCTGATTAATTCAATATCTATTTTCTGATCATCTTTATTTTCATTTATATTATCATCCCCTTTTGAAGTTTTATCAATTGCTGTTTTAACATCAGCTTTAAAATCTTCTACCGTTTCTTTTATTTCTTTAACTCTTCCTTCCAAAAGCACTTTTAACTCCTTTAAAGTATCACTTACATCTGCACCAGTACCCACTGCTTCAGATGCATGTACTTCCACACGTTTTAAATTTTTAATTTCCTGTTTCATTGCGTCTAATTCATCTTTTAAAGATTTAATAACATCTTGATATTGTTGCTGCATTGCGTCTTGTTTTGGTGCGGAGGGAGGTGGATGAACCGCTGCTTCCACCACAAACTGTTGACTTTGTTGTCCTTCTTCGTAACTTGTCAATGATTGTTGATCCATGTTGGTTTCTATATTGGAAACTTCCTGACAAATTGATTTTGCTTTTGCTTCAATACTTTGCGCTAAAGTATTGATTTCTTTTATGTTTTCATTAATGCGTAGTGGAGACGTGTCAATAGTTTGGGTCATAGTGGTATTTCTCTTCCGGGGATCAGGTGTGTCTTTTTTGGTTTTAGGTCTTATAGTTACCCTTTCTGATCTGTCTACTTTATCAGTGTTTTTCTGAATTGTAATTTCTTGATTTGTTACTTCTTTCTGCCTGCCATTGGTGACTTTAACACTTTTGCTTTGTTGAATGTTTACATTGTGGTCGGAAACAGTCACTTCTGTATTGACCACAGCTACATCCGATGGTTTTTGTTTTGCTGAACGCTCTGCACGTTTTTTACGTGTGGTTTTCTTTCGTTTTCTTCTACTTCCTGTACGCTTTCATCATCTGTGCTTTGACTAATATCCAAAGTGATATTTTCGTGGATATTCACTTGGATAGTCCCTGGATGACCAAGTTTAGAAGCGGGTAGACCTCCTTGGAGCTGGAGGTATTTTGCTGTGGAGCGGAATCCACGTTGAAGGGCACAGTCCAAAGGTGTCATGAAGACATTTTTGGATGTGCGGAGTATAGGGTTAATAAAGGCACCATGATCAATTAGAATCTACAAAATATTTCGTAAAATAATTAAATGTTATCAATGTATTATTCTGAAAATAATACTTTGCACATATCCGCGTTATCATTCAAAGCAGCAAGATGTAAAGGGCATCTCCCATCGTTATTCCTCGCGTTGACATGACTAGGCTTAGCATCCAACAACCACTGCACCAAATCTCTCCTCCCTGAACCTGCAGCTTCATGCAGGGGCAGATCCCCTCTTGCGTTCCTCAACCAAATATTAGCATTATGCACAGCGAGCATTTTAACAGTTTCAAATTGTCCCTTGGCGCAACCACAATGGGCAGGGGTGCGACCCTTTCTATCCTGCCGGTTTACATTGGCACTATGAGCTAAAAATCAAGTGTGAGGAAACAAAAACACTTTTTGTAATTAATTCTACCTAAAAGTAAGGCAGTAGCATCGGCATGCCCCAACGTGACAGCGTAATGTAGGGCAGTGCACCCATTACTATCGATAACATCAACTGACGCTCCGCATAGGGTAAGCAGAGTGTCCAGACACTCGGTATGGCCACGTGACGCTGCACAATGCAAAGCAGTGAGACCATCTTTATCACTTGCTTCAACAGGAGCCCCGGCTCTTATTAAGGCTAACATTGCTTTTGGGGAACCTGCACTAGCAGCCCAGAGAAGGGGTTGTCTTCCATCTCCATCTCGGACAGTGACATCTATTTTTGAATGCGAGAGGAGTGTCTGAAGTATCACTAAACCTAATTCGTTGTCTTTATCTTGTGACTAAAAGAAACATATTAATTTTTTTGTTTAATTTTAATGATTTAAACATACAGTGGCACACATTTGGGCTGCGTAGTGCAGCGGATATCCACCATGTACATCTGGTGTGGAGATTGGAGCACCAGCAGCCAGCACGGCACGAAGTGCTTCAGTTTCCCCACAAACTGAAAGCAAAAAAGTGAAATTGCATCAATTACTTACAAAGTACTAGAATTTATTTAAATTGTACACTGATTTCATGTCGAGAGTTATAAAGGTTTGAATGAGCTCCAACGCCACGCGTGGAATTGGAGCACAGACGACGTAAGTGGGTTAAGAATTTTAAAAGTGAAACGCCGGCTTCTACGAACTGTTCGCGTGCAACACTCGAAGGCATTCGATTAAAAACACTCACAAAATGCGCATAATGTCAAGTCAAACCCAATTAACTGAAACTCACTCCGGAATAACAAAAAGTATCAAGTGGTAACAACCTGCTATCAAAGGGTTGATTGTTTTTGTATTTTTAATACGTTAAAAAGTTCTTTTAAATTGATTCAAAAACTACTTTGACCTAAATTGTACTTAAATTAAGTCTTAGTTTATTAATAACCACTTTAGGGAATTGCAACTTCTTGGATGACCTTAACCCTTGCAAAGTACTTTAGCCCTAATTTCCTAATTCAATAGAAGATCCTATTTCTATAGGCATTGGATTGGATTAAATCATATTAGTGGCAAATTTTGCATTAATGACCACCAGCTACAATTTCCTGTATCCAATGCATTAGGGTTGAGTTGATTGAGATTGAATTTCCACCCTATTCTATTTTCTCTTGATATTCAAGTATGCAGTCCTTGGCACTCCTTCTGAAGGGCGCCCACCTTTAAATTCGATACTGGTCAGTAATTTATTCTGACCCTCGAATCTTACAACAAAGGTCAGCCGAAAATATTTCTGATTTTCATTGAGGAAGCCATAAGCATTAAGAAATAGGAAAAACTGTAAGTGGTGATTAGGTGAGACCAGATTTGCCTTTTAAATTTACCCGATACAAGACTTTTATAGCCACTGGAATTGTTTTTGTGGATAGATTTATTCATAATTGATTTCCAAGTCAGATTTTTGTGCTTTTTTGTGCACTTTGTGGAAAAATATTTACATATGCATGAATTGCTGTTTTCCATCAGCAAAAATGGTAATTTTTTGACCTTGCAAAACGTGCACTTCCGAATTTTGTCACATTAATTTTATAATAACACATTTCAAGGTGTTTCCAAGTCCTTTAGTTTTTATTCTTTTCCTCAGTTAATGAAAATTTTCATTTTAAACGCATTTAAATGCATTTTTGTTTGATTTATTACTTTTATGGCTTTCCAAGAAGCTTTCAAGTTTAATAATGCGGGAGTGGAAACTCTTAACGATCCATTTTCCAACACGATTCACAGTTATTAATAACTGTCTTGGACTGACCACGGTTATCCAACTCTACTCTACTCAAAATGTTTGTAACGCGAAGGTCAAGTTCATCATGCGATAGATAATTAACTGTTATGTAAATAATAACAAATTTTCTTTGCTCATATTTCCTTTAAATTTATTTTTCTAAAAATGCAGGTATTGTAACCTAGTGACACAATTTAAACCAATCTAATCGCATTTGTATTCTCTTCGCCCTTAATGCACAACTGAATTATTTAAAATATCGTAACTTGCATCACGATTACAGCGATTATTTACGATCAGAGAAAGTATTTCATGCTCGGACTAATCTGGACAATCTTGAATAACGTAATTATTGTGTACGTAAAGTGCAATCTTGTTGAATAATCAACTCCGTAATTAATTTGTGCACCGCGCACACAAATATCTAACGTCTGAGTTCTTAATGAATTGAATTATTTAGTTTTTATGCGTCTGACGTCGCAGGACATATGGTAATTGAACACGCGGCGCGAAAATGCTACGTGTGTGAACTTAACCCAATTCCACGCTTGCCAGCTTGATGTTTTAGCGTTAACTTTCACGAAAGGCGAAAGTACCTACTAAACTCAGCACGGTTTAGGTTTATAAATAAGTGTAGGTATACTGAACGCATACGTGTTAAAGTAATCTGACATTATATCACGCTATGACCGGCGCCGCCACCATATTAACCGTTTGACCGCGCCAATGTTTGAGAATCTGAGTAATACAGTTTTTTGTATTCTAGGGTAAATTAAATGAGGACAATGAGACTATTAAATGCAACTTTTTCCAGTTGTATTAATATTAATATTAGTTTTGTTAACTTTTTGTTTTTGTTTTGTTTTTGGCACGTGCAGCGAAAGTTTTTTGGGTTAAGACCTTGTGACACAATTAATTATATGCCTAAAATGTTGGCATTGAATAACAAATCAATATTAAACCCAAACAAAATTATATAGGTAATTTAGAAGATAATTAATAGTTAATATAGGTAATTATTTTAGACAAGAAGTGGTTTGTTATTATCGTGTAATATTTTTATGTTTTGTGGGAAATTCACATATTTTTCATTTTGATGGTATCTTCGCTCATGTGGGAATAGAAAGAGGTGTAACCTGATTATTAGAGACTAGTTATATCGGTCAGGCTGGTAGATACTGATTGTGATAGGAAAGCGTGCGCAACTGATGACACCTATGATAGCCGACTAGCCCACATTCAGTTCTATAGGAGACAAGAATCAAAGTTGAAAAGAAATAAATTGTTTTCAGTGTTTAAAAAAATACGAAAGAAATTTACGTTTAAATCAGGTTAAAATCTTTAATTTTGGTTTTTGTCACTTCTGACCTTTAATGACTAATAAAAAGGTTCTATGTGTCATGTTTCGTGTTTCCAAACCTAACATAAAACGACGTAGTTAATAAAAATCAGAAAAAACTAATTTTCCAATAAAAATAAAGATTTTATTACAAAAACTTCTGAACTACCCTCAACATTGAATAATATATAAATAATTTATAGTCAAATCGATACCCCAGCAGTTTATCTAAGTACATTTCTTTCGAATTGTTTTGTTTACATAAAAATAACGCGTACTTGCAAGAAAACACAAGAAAACATTCCTATAAACACGTCAACACGTGTCTTATTAATGCAACATTAGTATAATTGTTATTTTAACCTGTTTTTCTTCATCAGAAACAAATAATATGTTGATAATTCAATTGCATTCGATTGCATTTGGATAAAAATAATTTATTCCATCGATTTTTTTCTTTCAAATATTTTACTAGATGCGCGTGTGTACGTGCAGACGCATTAACTTGTTTATTATGCCTGAATACCTGAAATATCACAAAGCGCTACCATCGACCTTGAAAATAACAACCAACTGACCAATCGTGCCTGACCATCAAACATTATACAGCCATGGTATGATTAAGCCTAGCAAACAACGCAACCTTTGAGTTTTATGTGAGACGCAGTAAATCAGGGCAAAAATAATTTAAAAAATAATTTTTTAAATAAAATTTGACTTACCTGTAGCCCAATGTACAACACTATGTTGTTCAGCATCCAAAGCACGAATATCTGCTCGAGATGCAAGCAAGAATGTCACCAAAGGCATGTTGCCGGCGATTACGGCGAGGTGCAACGGCGTGAAGCCATCCTCGTCGCGGCCGTCGATCAACTCGGGGGCGGCCATCGTGAGTAGATCGGCGGCTTGCGCCGCTCGCGCTTGACTCTTGCTGGTGCAGCAGTAATGCAGGGCGGTTTTACCAGTACGATCGCGGCGTTTTGCTGCGGCTCGTCCCTAATTTTGTAGAGTAAAACGGAAGTTAATCACCAAGTCAACCGGTAAACAAGTGCAGAATTTCGGAAAAGTTTGTCTCGTCACTATGACAATCAACAAAAGTTTGTTGACACCACGCGAAACAAGAAAAACTTGTTTGTATGATCGTTATATTAAATTTTCAAGTAAATAAAAAATAATTTTAATAAAAATTCAAATAAAACAACACAGAAATTAAAAATTATTAATTTTGTGGTTAAAAATTGTTTAAAAATGATTTGTTTGATATTTTAAACTTTAACTGACCTGCAGAAGCACACTGCGCACAGCGTCTACATCCGCCTGCTGGCACGCGTACATTAAATAGGTAACGCCGTGGCCGCGCCGCTGCCAGCCGCCTCCGCCGCGCGCGGCGCTAGCGGTCGCGGTGGCGGCGTCGTCGCGATGCTCATCGTCGTCGGCATCGGGGCCGGCCGGAGTGCCCCGAGCGTCGCGATTCATTATGCACATCGGTGGTCGCTCATGCCGCCTCTTATTTTTGGACTCTACAACAAAACCACCTCAAAAAAATAAGCGCTGGTGTAATTATAAGGAAAACATAATTAACCTTGACGAAAAAATGTTATTAGCATTGAGATGTTGATGTTGCGTAAGAAAGAAAATTAATTTCGGTAATAAATTAAGTGCGGAAGAAAAGCAAGGATAATTTAATTAAATTTTTGACAGGATGTTACTTAAAAAGCGATTTGTTTTCATTTTCTTTTATTAAGTTGTCAGCGCTGGCAGGTAATTTATTTTTGAATGAAATTTTAAAATCATCAATAAACCATCAATTTTAAAAAGTTAAAATATTTACAAATTAAAATTTGAGCTTTAATTTAACTTAACTTGAAGTTAAAACTGATGTAAATCTGTTGCGAATAGTTTTAACTTTGTTTTTGAAACTTTGAAAGTTAATTTTACTTATCGAATTGTTGTTAACTTGATAAAAAGTTACACTTTCCTTTCACCAGCGCACTTTAAGTTTACCAAGTGAAGTATTTAACAAAGTTAACTGTTTTCCGCGTAGGCAGGTCATGATTCATGATTCACTTCAGTATCACCGCCCCATCACAAGCGGTAATTTATTTTATCGCATGAAACATGCAAAAATGTGCGAAATGCATTACATTTTCCGTAGTTGCTTAGTTATTTCCAGACATATGAGCATGTAATATTGGAATAATGCGGAGAGTTGAACAGACTGCCAGGTGAGAGGAAAAGTAAAGCCAAAGTGTGTTGCGTGGGTGGTCCCAGCGGCAATGAACCGATTCGGTGCAAATTTATTCAAGACACGCATAAAGCAAATAACAAACGTAATAAAAATAGAATCACATACAACATAATATAATATTTATGTAAAAATAATAAATTTATTGCCCAGAAGATAAAAAATACAATTATAAAGGTGACAATGTAATAATTTCATGCCTCAGGTGAAATTTTCCATCATTTCACCCGTATTTCTTTTGCCCATTGAGTGGTATGAGCGAATTTGTGAAATTGTTGGGGTTGAAAGTGCCAGGCAGTTTAAAATGCACGCAAACGTCATGTTCGAGTAGCTACACATTAAGCTTTCACCAACACCAACCAACCTGCCTGGTTGTACGTATATATTTATTACACTCACACCCTCAGCAGACAAGGGCGCAAGCGATAATAACAAACACCCCAACACGCCAAAAAACAGCCGCGACCCATCCTATTGTGAGGTGTGTGCCAAGACGCCAAACGCGTTTCAACCATTCACGCGAAGGAGGGTAAAGGGAGAAGGGAAAAGTGGGTCAGGGGGTTCCCACTGTTCCCAGTTCCTTTAAACCACTAACACGATTAATTTTGGTGATTTTTTTACGTTGGAAAAAATATTTTTATGAAGGGGTTGATAAACTTATGCGATAATATATTTTTGAGAGTTATTTATTAATTACTCAAAAAGTATAAGAGGTAGAGTTATGATTCTTTTAAAAATAGATTGGGGAATAAATTGTGCATCTTATTATGTAAAAATTATAATGATAACGTTATCAGGAAAAAAGTTACAGGCAATTGAAATTGAATTATTGATAAAATTAAATATTTATATAAATTGGCTTATAAAATACTTTCAAAAATATTTTTTAACAAAATCTTTACATTGTCTGATGAAGAATTTAATTCTTAACGCAATGGTGAAGAAATGATTAAAATTCTTTGATTAGTTTTTGAGTAATTAATTAATAACCATCGACTTGTTGTTTGTCGCTCAGCGACATGATTGATTTTATAATATTAGCTGTTCTATGAAATAGTAAAACGCTTCGTTGAATGGACGAAAAGGTCAATTACACCAAAGCGACCAAAACGAAATGAAACGCTTAAATGCACACAAACATCCCTGAAGCGATTTGATGGTATTAGTTGTGTTTGGAGTTGATTGTACTGCCACTCACAACAACCACCACGGGGGCACCGGGGGCACTAGGTGAAATAACCGTAGTCAAACCACACTTTGAAAACACTTCGTGGATGAAACACAACTCGAATCGATAGTGGGACTGTGCGTAGCTCGGTAGTACAAACCAACTAATGACTCCACGTTAATAACAAAACAAAAGCACATGCACATACATCATAAATAATAAATTTTTAAATGAAAAGCATAAAAATAAATTAAAATAAAAAATAATGCGTTTGATGTTTTTATTTCGGGTTCACTTTTGTTATAAATCACAAAGGAGTCAAAAATAGCCGATATTATTTGAGATATAACAGTTTATCGGATGACTGTGTGTCCTTGAAGCTATCGTCTATAATTCGCCAACTGATCGAAACATGAAAAACGGTTCCCACAACTAGTTTATATGTTAACATGTCATGATATCTTACAAATTGATACGTGATGTTGATAGACATAACGTTTTCTGATAAGAAAAAGTCAAAACAATCAAATTTGATGTTTCAATCATGGAAAAAATTATTTTTATATTTTTATTTGCAATAATGAAAGTTATGTGATGATATTCAATTTGTTTGGAGTTTTATATAGTTGTAATTGAGTTAGTACCTTGTTTCGCGCAGCGTCACGATTCGTCCCCCATAATATTCATAAGCTTTTGGGTGCTTTCGGTACTTTTGCGGCGCCGCGACGTTGCACAATAAATTTTCGCGTTTGACACGCGATTCCGCGCTTTTCGCTCGAATCGTCTTCTTCGACACTCGGCCGACACGCCGACACTGTGCACACGAATGCACGCGGAAGCGTGCACCACCCGCCGCCGAACGTGGGAAAATGCGCACGCAATGTGGAATGAAAGTTTCAGTTGAAAACGCTTTTCCATCGCCTGCAATGTTTTCGTATTCGGGAAATCCAGCGGTATTGTTGTATTGTGTATGTAAAGTTGCCTAGCATAACAATACAATACATTTATTTAGTTATTCATAGATATAAACGCTTTGTGTGTTATGTAATGTTATTTATTAACATTTTAATGTTTTTAGTGATAAAAATGTTAGAGTTTTGTGATAATTTTTGAAGGTTTTATCGTAAAATGTAAATGTAGTAATTGTTAGATGTCTAGTGTGGTAGTGAAGGTTGAATGCGCATGAGACGAGGTGGCCGAGTGGTTAAGGCGTTGGACTGCTAATCCAATGGGCTCTGCCCGCGTGGGTTCGAATCCCATCCTCGTCGGGTCCTTTTTTCTTCCAACAAATTCCACAATAATAAATATTTAATTACTTTAAATATTCCTGCGGTTAAAATAAATATTAACAAATAATTTGCGTAAAAACGCGTATATGAAACAATGTTTCATCTATCCGTCCCACTGGTGACCCTCAACATAACAAAATGGTAAATGGTACACCTAGTCATACCGTACATGTACATTGTGCAGTATGACACACATGCGAACATCGCATAGCGAATAATACTCCCATCCTTCTTGCGTGCTAGCATTCTGCACGCTGGCGCTCCTGCAAGCGCCGTTCTGCTGTGCGCAACCTTCTTTCCCACACAATCAATAAACTTCTAACCTAAATAACGCTCTCGCGAAGAGTTCGTCCGCGAGTGCGCTGCAGCGCAGTCGAAACCAGCGCAAACAAAACACTTGTGCTCCACAATTTCGTTCATTTCATTTCGTTGCAGTTATAATCCTACGCATTACACGCATTGATGGCTGCTGTCTGTGGAGTGCACCAGGATCGACAGGATGCGACCGTGTGGCGAGTCGCGTTCGCGGATGATGGCGTGCGTGCGCGAGCGCTGGGAATTCGCCGAATGTAAATAAATCACTCGGATTGGCGATACGATGCGAGAGCAACATGGAAGGCGATAAAAACGAGTCCTGCTACACGATTAACAAAGGCGTCGTTCGCAGGGAGCCACCACAATCGTCATCCAAGAGGTAAGTAGGTGAAGAAACCAACAAAGATGACACACAGCTGATTACATTTGTCACACTTCACACATTTATTACAAAATATTGACCAGAAAATACTTTTTGATTGATTACATACAGTCTTTGTCATGTGTTTGTTATTCCAGTGATTATTCCAGTCGTTCAAAGGCAGCCAGTCACGAGGATTTCGCGCAGGCTGAAGAAGGCGCTCTTTATTCGGTCTCACAGCGGGTGCCAACTGTTAGCACCAGTTACTCCAGTCTGTGTGGGGCTACTGAAGGACCTGCGGTGCAGTACGCTGAATGGGAACGTACCACATCGACGGATACAAAGGATACCTCGTCGGTGGCGTCAGAAAAACAAACTACTGGTGAGTAGATAATCCGTTCTGTTGAGTATTATATTAATATGTCATGCTATTATTAATATTATTGACCAGTCATGACTGAAGGTGTAGCAGAAGTAGTAGAGGTCTCCTTACTAGGAGAAACACTTCCCCTTTTTCTTCGGATAGAAGCAAATTGACGTTTAATAAAATTCCTAAATCCCTTATGCCACCATGCGTAAATCAACGGATCTATTAGAGTATTACAAAAACCCAGAATAGCAAAAGGGCTTGCTATTAACACTCGGAGAGTATTCGCCATTTTTTCATTATCGGTTAATACGTAAATTGTACATGCTACAAAGTATGGTCCCCAACTTAGAACGAATGCACCACTTGTAAACATGACCACTTTAATTGCGCGCCATTTGTTGGGACGATTGCGGGTGTCCTCCTGATGGCGAGGGTTACCAACAAACATTCGTAGGTTACCACTTCCGGCTTCTACCGGTGCCACTTTCGGTTGGTTTTGTATTTTTTTGATGTTTTTGAGCGCCTGGTAAAGAATTATTGAGTAGAGAACCACTACCAGAACTAAAGGTACAGCTCCCACTCCAACGGTGAGCACGACCAGGTTTTTTGGCGCGAGGAGGATAAACCAACAGCGGGTACCATTCATGGTATCACCGTGCCATCCTGTCAACGGAAGGAAACCGATAACCAAACCTACAAAAACAATAAAACAAAAAAGTAAATTACATATTGCACCTAATCAGTTATGTGTCATTTCCGCATTTTTTGGAAATTTCCGAGTTTAAATTTCGAATTCTTTTGTTTATGTGAGATATTAAACATGTCAGCACTTATGCCGCTCGTCAATCATCAAGTTGTTTGAGTTCTTGTGCTAGAAAACAGGATTTGCTCGTAATCTGCGTTTTAACATTGAAACACATTTTACGATGGACGGACTAGCGCATAAATTGTGTCTAATTTTACGTCGTGTTTACAGTGGTAACCTCTAAATAATCGTAAATAGAAGGCGTGCCGAGTGTTAAATTTTTTTAGAACTCACCTATAATCCATGTAAATCCTATTGCGACGCGTACACGGCTCGGGTAGATCCACTTTTGGTATTTTAATCCGTGAACGATATAGAGAAATCTGTCGATTGCAATTAGACCCACTGAGTAGACGGATACAAGAGTGCTGGAGACAATCATTCCGATTTGTAGACAACAGATATTGTGCTCGCGGTATTCTTTGGGGTAAATTTGGCCGAAAACTGTGGTTAATGCTGTTAGTAAATCAGACATGGCGACGTTTCCGAGGAGAATGTAGGTGGTTTTGGGCATTTGTCCTATGAATAACATTAAAATAATGATTTTAATGCATAAAAATTATAAAATTTGTGAATATTATTACCTTTTTTCAATATTAATCCACTTGATATCACAACAGCTAAATTTAACACAATCGCCAAGGAACCAACCGCTGGTATGGCGTAATCGTACGCGTTTAATGTTCGCGAATAAGTTTTGTTTTTGGTGGCATTCGCAGCAAAAGTCATTGCAAATGTTTGAAATGTCGTGGTACTGCCCAGGGCAGTCGTTGGGTAACTAGTATGATCCATTTCCGAAGTTATTTCCATGTTGTCTTTTTAAAAATGTTAAGAATTTTACAAAAATAACTCACAAATAACTCGGCGTTACGCGAAATATTTCACAACATAATTTATTGTCGAGCAGAGTCGGTAATTTTACACTTAATTTGCGTATCGCGATAATTTAACAATATGTTAATCGCTTGGTGAACGCTCATCGACTGAAGCGGCAAGCGAGAAAAACGTATAGTTATTGTAATCAGAGACTAACCGCGACTAAACGGACGCCGCATGAGTGAAAACGCATCGAAAACTGGAAACGGCAAATACCAAACACCAAAATGGAATCACCAACCAAGCAACCTGTTTATCCTGTCAGACATTTATTGCTTTAACGCTTTCAAACATTTTTAATACTTTTGTTTCGCTGGGAATTGTTCTTTTAATTTCATTACGGGATTCCCAACTTGCACGCATCAATCATTGATTGTATATTTGTATTTTTATTCCGGAACGTATACAGTTATATTAAGAATGTGCCACTAATTATTTAAAGTGACAATAAAATGTGCCATTCTTACTTTGTATGTACATTCTATGCTAACTATATTCTAAATACACAAAAGACGAGACAGGTATTTATAAACAAGTAAAGACACTCTGCAAACAATCAATGTTTTATATTTTTCGCGAAGTGGTTTCACGGAAGTTCAAAATTTTACTTTACGACTCATAAAAAATGTTTTTAGGTACTTTTAAAGGTTTAGTGTTTCGCAGTCATTAACCCCTAGTGATCGGTCAAGAGCTTTGGGCTTTCGCCTGATTTACCTGTCCGAATACGCAAATAATTTACAAATGCCGCAGCATCGCTGCTCCGGCAAGCTTTGGATTTTCTATGATTTATAGATTAGCGCTGGCTGGGTTTTGCGCTTGCATAAATAATAAGCCCAGGCAGGGGTAGGGTTGCACGGATTGGCCAGTATCATCTCTGAGCATTATCAGAGTATTAGGGTTATTTCACTATTTGCCTAATTACTCACACGCCGGCGACAAATTTGCCCTAATCAGAATACTTTGAGGTCAGACCGGATTATTTGGTCGGGAAAAATAATCATGCAAGTAATTCACAATAAAATGACATTTTTATGTGTTTTACGCGGTGATATGATAAAAAATTTGCTGTATTTTGATATAATCATTGGTATACACAGAAAAATTATGCGCAAAATGAAGCAAATACAATAAATACTTGTTATCAGGCGAATGTTGTTTGGTATTAATAGAGGTGAGGCTGAAGAGACAGTCTGCACGTGCTGTCATTGAATCGGAACGGATTTTACTACGCATGATGCTTTTTATCTAATCCATAGAATAATAATCAGTTAAACACTACATGCGAGACCAATATGGTTATAATTAATTAATACTGTTGTTATTCACATTATAAGCCTTCATTTATACAGGAATTTAATAACATTTCTTCTTAATTGCGAAAGAATTTTTAAGGGAATTCGAATTCTTTTATGAATTAATCTTGAGACATGTTTTATTTCAGAAACAAACACGAATTCATCAGGACCGAGTTCAGTGGTCTCCGGTTCGATGTTGCCGCCATTGGAAGCGACGACGGCGACGTTGGGTCCGCTGGTGCCGACTTGTGTGTACATGCACAACGATGTCGCCATCATGCTGGACGTGGAGGATTCTCCAAACGCCTCTGCGGACCATCTTATGATGGCAATCGTCAATTCGGATGAGTTAGGACTCAATAAACAAGTCGCGCTGCAATGTTTTTCTCTATGGATGTCAACGCCATTATTGCAACTTCAGTTGAAGCCTACACATAAACCTTACGATGTGCGGCGAGCTTGGAGAAGTCTTTTGGCGCAATATAGTCATGGGAGTTATCACAAGCAACAACGAGACGAGCCGATTATTTCCTTTCAAAGGAATGTTTTCTTTGCGCAGCATTTAGAAGAGAAAATCAAGTAATATTTAAATTAAAACTTGAAAAATTGTATAATTATGTGATTTCTTTTTAGGGATCAAAAAATCTTAGAATTGTTGTATGAAGAAGCAAGATATAATATTCTAGCTGGAAGATATCCATGTGAAACAGCGCACTATGTAATGCTGGGTGGGATCCAAGCGCGGATTGAGCTGGGCCCATATAATCCGCAGGTGCATTCAACGCACTACTTCCGTGAGGAACAGTGCAAATATTTACCGCCACATGTGCGCAAGAGTCCCACGTGGACGTGGCTGCCGATAAGCTCGAAGAACTCGGCGGAGGTGCGTTTGTTGGAGCAGTTCAAGCGGATACCTATTTCGGCAACGAATCGGAAGCTCATGCGCAAATATTTGGAGTTTTGTTGGTCGCTTCCTTTCTATGGGCAAGTTGAATCAAAACAATGTTAATGTGCATTGTATTAATGGCGGTGTTGTGTTTCTAATTGCAGTTCAGCATTTTTTGAAGGTCAGGTTGAGCAGCCTGTCCGTGGACTGACAAGTTTAATGACTCACCAAGACATTCCAGTAATTGTCGCGATTAATGCCAAAGGCGTTTATGTAATCGACGATATTCAATGCGTGAGTGTTACACACTTTTGTGATACTTTATTTTAGTAATAATTACTCGTTTTGCAGACTGTTTTGGTCGGTTTAAAATACGAAGAAATGAGTTGGGATTTCGCACGGCCTTCGCGAGAGGAAGACCCCAATTGTTTCCCGTGTTTGTTTCTGCAATTTATGGTTGTGGAAAATGGCGCGCGGGTGTCAAAGATTCTTCAGATCTTCTCACGTCAAGCCTCGTTGATGGACACGCTCATTTCAGGGTTTGTGCATCAATTGAAAGAAAAATCTGGCGACGAACACGAGAGGAGTTCAGCGTATCAAATGCCAACCGACACAACAGGTAGGATTTTTTCTATTTTATTAAATCTGGGGTTCTTCACGTTTCGATTATTGCAGATAATAATCAAGTGCAAATAACGCTCGGCAATTTGACGCACAGCACGGCGAATCTTCCGTCGTTGTCAAACAAATTAAGTAAATTAACGCTAGCGACCTTCGACGATGATGGTCACTGCATTGGTCAAATGGGCTCGTGGTCTTTTACGTATTGAAAATAACAAGTATTTGTTACAATTTTTGCAATTTACGATAATACTCACGAATCACCACGAATATCACTAACATTTAGTGTGTACAATTAATTTATTCGTTTGTTGTTGTTTCCTCCATACAAACAATTTTGATGACAAAAAGAAAACGTGTACATTTATACATATTAAAAGTAATAATTAAGTTTGATAATAAAAATTATTGCTGTTTCTGTGCCTTGGTGCCAGTCTTCTTCGAAGCGCCAGTGTTTTGGGGTTTGTCAAACCGTGAGTTCTTGTGATGCTTGCGTTTTTTAAGCACTTGTAGTTTGGGATGCATGTCAAGAAATCTTAATAATGCTTCAACTCTGAAAAATATGCGTTTTTATAATATTTAAATGTTTAAAAATTACAAGGTCATGTTTTGATGTATGTTCGGTTGCCTACAGTGATTCACCGTAACACAAGAAAATATCTAACCTCTGCGGCACCACTTCTTTCCAACGGATCAGCCGCAGGTCCATACAGTGCATCACAAAGTTCGCCTGGTTCAATTCCCGGAAGTATTCCTGTTCCTCTTCGAAGGTAAGATTCTCAACTTCATCATTATACCAATCGCGACGTTTCTTCAAATGCGCTAATTGCTGCGGGAATAAATTTATATCAAAACTTTAAAATTGCGCGGTTGTCGGTTACATACATGCTGGAATTGTTGCTGCAGGCGGTTGGCGCGCTTTAGGAGCATTTCTTGGAACTCGCGTAAACATTCGTTACGCACACGCAGGGCTTGTTGATACGTTAACACCTCTTCGAGCCCTTCGCGTACGATATACGGCCGAATGTAATCTAACTCGTCCTCGATTTCACGCTCCTTTTTGGTGCGATCTTCGGATTCCTTCTCGAGCATCAAGCGGCGATTCTCTTTGTTTTGTTCGCGATTGAACAAACCAACATCTAACTTGGGATGTAAAACTTCCAAGGCGCGAACGCGGATAAACTCTGCGATCTAAATTTATTAGTTTGTTAGGTTTAATTCAAGTTTGAGGAAAAAAATATTAAGGATCTTACAGTGTCCTCGACGTGACGCACTTTAATCATGCCTTCTTCTTCGTCCTTGAGTTGCCTTTCTAATAATGCGTAGAGCGTTGAATTTTTCGGTGGTTTCGCACCGATTTCCGCCTGATAACCATAGGTCAATTCCGGCTTATAGGACACCCCTTCGACCATTTCGCTGAGGGGCGGTTTGAGGAATACACGCGTGCTGGCCGTTATCTTCCCCACATCGTAGTGAAACTGCAGGCTGATCTTTCTCGCAACGTAGTCAAACTCGCGAATTGCGATGTCATCAGAAGCGCGTACGTTTTTATTCCGCTCGAATTTTTCCACCATTCGCTTTAAAACAAACACAATTATCGTCGGCTTTGTTTTGGGGCGTCTTCGCGCGACTAGTTTTATTGCCGCCTACTTACTTTTATGATCCTCCGAGGTCCTTCGATAAATCCCGGCGGCGGCTCGCCGCGCTTTGCATACTCCGTTCGTCGGAAGTAGAACAAATCCTCCCTGTTAACGTAGTCCTCCTGCAGGTAGAACAAGTCGTGATTGATGACCTTCAAGCAATCAAAGCGACTCTTGTAGTAGAACTCAATCGTCCGCCATGAGTCAGCCTCATTGTCATGCTTATAAAACGTGTGTTCTTTAACATTGTCTTCACGCCCACGATCAAAATACTCTGTGATTAAAGAAGTAGCGATGTTTTCCGTACGTTTACACCACTTATCACTGCGATTCTTGTATCTCTCCTCGATGGATACCAAATCGGTACAATCCATGTCGGAATATTTAAAGATCTTCATCACCAATCCATCATCTTGCGAATAGGGTGAGAATTGTTCCACGACGGTGCGTTTGTAGACCGTCTTTTTGTGTCCGAGTGGAAAGCGATTGTTGACATCCTGATGCGAGACATTGATCCGCAAACTCCAAGGCTCCGGCATATCCAGATGCTGTTCATCTAGCAGCTGGTTGAGCTCCTGAGCCTCTTCGTCGTCCTCCATTTCCAGTTCACGATTATGAATGCGGTCATGGATGGGCTCACCGGGCAGAATATGCTCCCATTTACTGATGTCGGTGAGGTCGAAGCTGTGATTGCCAATACCAAGCGAATCATCTTGCAGGTTCACCCAGTAGTTGGTGTTGTTCCAGACGCTCTGCACCGAGCAATAGGCGGGTGAGTCTATCGGATGGGCCATGCCGGTGGTGGATTCGATGAAAAATGGTTGTGTGTCTTTTTCCTCGGGTAGTGGCATGATGCATACCCAGCCGTGCAGGCGTCTGCAGTGAAGATCATCATGTGGGGGCGCTTCTTTCTCGAGCAGTTTCTGGCGACGTATTGCTTCTTGTTTTTCCTTCTCGGCGGCGTGTTTTTCGGCGTCTTTCTGCTCCATTGCCATGAGGAACTTGCTGCGCAGATCGCGCGGTGCCTTGAGGACGTATTTTTTATTTTCCTCGACTTTTTCCTCCACGACTTTTTCGACCTCTTTCTCGTCGAAGGGACAGTCGGCGCGGATCATGATGCATTCGGTTACGTCGCGTGCCGCTACGCCGTAGACGCAGAATGCGTTGTAGTTTCGACCCATGAGTAACGAACACAGCGCCGTGGACATTTCAAATGAATGCCCGATCTTTTTCCGGAAAACTACAAACGGTGACAACAGGCGACTTTTCTGTAATAATATATTAGAAATAATTCATTCAGTAATTGTTGCAATTTGTTTTGTTTAATTCACGGAAACGGTTTTATTTACAAAAGTGGGACTCTTTTATATTGTTCCCGGAGTCGCATACACATTTTAAATAAGTTTGACTTTATGCGAGAGCGAGAGAGTGGCGGCTGGCGGCGTGTTTGCGCTGCCACCTGTTGTACTCGCAATTCCTACGTCATTCGACCGACATAATAAAAGTAATAAAACAAACAAGAGAATAAAAGGGAACGTTTTGAACACTATGGGACGCGGGTGGCGACGGCGGCGCATGCCGGTGGTATGAGGGCGGCTGGGTAGGCAAGAGTGGGGGTTTCGGCGGCGGCGGCGGCGTCATCAGAAAAAGGGATTTGAACTTTCGCCGTGTGCTCGAGTGATGTCTGCCGGCCTAGACTAGAGCGGAGACGACTCGAGTATTGAAACTTTCTGTTCTCTATGTATCAACGTAACGGCGCGCAGAAGCGTCGAGTGGGGGGGCGGCGGCGACGACGCAACGAGTTGCTTTGCGTTGAGTGCAAGAGAGAGACGCAGCGGTCGGGAGAGCAGTCGGTATTACTACTGCAGTCAGTCGGCGGCGGCACATTCTTTACAAATTCCCCGGCATATCAGATTTTTATGGACACTTGTTGCGTCCCATTACCTACTGCCCCACATAATTTTCCCGAGTCGACATTCGCGCACATTTTAAACACTCGGAAGTGTTTGAATGTTTTATTTTTGAAAATTGCAATGGTTCTTGCTCCACTGGTCAATTTAGTGATCGACCCATCGACCAGTTGCCGAGGCCGTGACACGGGATAAGTTATTCATCCATTTCAGCCGCCAACGCTGCTGCCGTCGCCGCCGCGACGAATATATGTTTGCGCCGCGTGTCCGTGACACGCGCGAGCGCGGGGGCTGTGTGCATGTGTGTTGTGCGCGGGGGCTGAGAATCCGCCGGCGGCGGCGTCGAGCGAATATTGCCGTGCCTCTGCCGATGGCACACGGCATCTAATCCCCGTTAATGGCCCGGACGCCACCGCCGCCGCCGCCACGCCGTCGTTTCGCTCTCGCACGCCATGATTTAGGGATGACGCAGATCCGCGAGCTAGCCGAACCGAGGGGTCAATAACTATTCTATCCCTCGCGCCTCATACCACCCTAAACCTAAACCTTGCCTTGCCGATTCTAACCGAGTTACCAAGCCAAAGGGAGAGGATATTTCGGGCGCCTCTGAATGAATCTTTAATTCCAGCAGGGTTTATTTTTTCTTTCGTTATGAAATCATCTATTGCATTCGCAACGTTTAATTCGTTAGCTCTCTAGGGGTGGTTGTTTGGTGTTGGGGTGTAAAATTATAACGGACATCATCATCAATTCGCGGTCATTGTTTGCATAGTTGGTGCGCTAATAACGCTGGCGTGCGTGCTGCAATTTTGATCGCTAGTGTGCGCGCCGCGGTGGCGGCAGCCGGTTTCCATGCCCCAGCTCTTAGCTTATTTATGTGGCGGAATTTGGAATTCTATTGTGCGCGCCGATGTCGCAGGAGCGCGCGCGAGCTAGATGAGGCTAGGCCGCGAGGGGGGTGGCAGGTGTGCGCGCGCGAATTCGCCGCCGCTCGGACCGCGCGCGCTTTTGGCAAATGCGCTCGGGGAGCTGTCCGTCCGTGCCGGTGACACATTCGCTAATAAGTTTTGGGGGCACGCACAGTCTCCTCCTGCATCCAATATTCCTCGTTCTAACTCATCCACTGAGTGTTTCAATTTTCCACCAAAAATTGAAATAAATTTCAATAAATTATCATCATAATATTTTATTAATAACACATTGGTTAGTTTATAGTTAGTTTTAGTAAGTTAAAAGTTTATGGGGTTATTTTGTGTATACACCCTGTATGTGGAACACAATCATTCAAGTTGCACACGTGCAATATCTGCGAGCAAGCAAACAAGGCGAGAGCGAGATGGGCAGCGGAGATGCCGGACCGTGGGTTCAATGGGGCGGTGAGGCGGCGCAGGAGCAGCCGAGATGGGGGTGAAAGCACCGCATCGCGCGCGCGGGATCGTGCAAATCAACCCCTAAATTTCGACGCTCACCCCTCGCGGCGTCGCTCGTCGGAATAGTGGTTCGCGCGGAAGCGCGCCCGCTATTATTATGCGGCGGTCGACTATCGCGAAGCCGCTTTTCCCAGAATTCGCTCTGCAGATAAAGCTGGAGGGTGGCCCGCGCGCCCGCCAGCCGCTACCAGCATAAAAGAATCACGGAAAATTTCGCATTATGCGCGCCGATCGACAGCCGCACAATAGAATCTCCCGCGCTTGCATCCCATGAGGGGGTTATTTCTTAATTATCTAATTCCTGATTTTATTCCATTGCAGTTGCCCCGACAGCAGATCCAATCACGAATCTTAATTGGGCCGAGAGTGGTTAAATGTAAGTGAAGCATGTTTTTTGTTTAAATTTTCGCGCATTTTCTTGACTCTCGAATCTCTTAGTCAGCAATCGAAGGGTTGGGTGGGTTCGACTAGTCCGGTGATTTATAGGGTTTAGGGTTCGGGCCAGCGTAGGCGAGAAGGGTGGCGCGGATGGCCGGCGGCAACGACGGCGGCGGCGGCGACGGACGAAGCAATAAGAAGTGCGCACGTACGGCCGGTCCGCCGGCAACCGACCGTTCCACATACATTAGACACCAACACGTACGCGACGCGCGCGCTTGTGCAGCCGCCCCCCGCCGACGCATAAGGATCGCGTCCGAGTCGCGCCCGACACCGTCATCAATTCTGTCGCGTCCCTTCGTGGGTGTGGGTGGAGGAAGGACGAGGACGCGCGTTTCGCACGCGGCATACTAGATGCGGTCTTTTTCTCTCGACGCCGAGCGCGCGGATCGCCGCCGCCGATCTTCGCGCGCATCTGATAGGCACGTAGGGCGAGGGCACCGCGTCGAGGAATAATGAAACTCGATAATGGCCGAGGATCTCGACGTGGACAAAGGAGGGACCGCGATATCGCGTGCGCGCGGACGGACACGTCGAAGTTGTGTTGGAAATTGGACCGGGTGGGTGGGTGGTGGTGGTGGGGGTGTGTGTGTGTGTGTGCGCGCGAAGGGGTGGGTAGGATGCCTGGATGCCAAAGACCCCCCGCGTTCGGCGGCGTGAGCTGCGAGAGGGATATTACGGCCGCGCGCGCTCCGCGCCGTACCGAATCGAAATTACTTTTTCGCTCTTCTTTCACGCGGCGGCGTTTCTTTCTCACCCCCAGCGGGCCTCCCGAGCGCTCGCGCGCCTGCATGCATTCGATTTGGTCGGCGGGTCCGCTCTTTTCGCGTCGCGACAATTACGCGCGAGCGTTTTTCATTGTCGCCAGTCCCCTCGTTCGTTGGTTCGTTCGGTGCGCCAGCCGGGCGACGCGACACGTGAGCAGCGAGGGGGTGGGTGGGCGCGCCGCAGCGTCGTCTCCTCGCCTCCGCAGAACCCTCGCCCACCGCCGCTGCCGCCGGCCGCGTTTTTTTCTATTCCTTTCATTACTCGCGCGCGCCGACGACGTAAACATCTAAAAAGCGAGCGAGTCGAGCACGCGAACGCCGAACGCACCCTCGTTAGACGACTCGCGGGGGTGGTGGGGTGGTGGACGTGTGGGAGGTTCGGACAGAAAGGGTTGTTCAGCTTGCCGATTCAACTGCGCACGTACTTTTGCATTCTTCTTAGTATTTCGCGTGTGACTAAGAAAACGCGCCGCTGCGGCTGCACGTAGCATGTACTTACAAACCCACGCAGCTTTTAACCGCGCACACATACATGAAGCTCACAATTTACCGTTATATAGTAAAACGAATGAGCAGCGTCCCTTTATTACCACGCGGGTTCGGCGTTCGGCGTGCTTGTTGACGATACGACCATGACGTCGAGCGGCGGCTTCTCATCCGAGGCGCGCAATTCGCATCCCCACAACCCCACCTTTCGTGCCGCGCGGTACCATCCCGAAGAACCCAAACCGTGCCGAACCGTGCGCACCACGGATGAATATATGCATGTGATGGTAGTGGTGTAGTGGTGGTGTGCGAGCATAAAACCCTCGCGCGACGAAAACATTCGAGGCAACGCGCGCGCGGCACTTTCGTACACACACATATTGCTGCTCTTCTTGCTTTGCTCGCTCGCCTCTTTTGCCCACCCGCTTCGGCGGCGACGTGTACATAATGTAGAATGTATGCCGGGCCGCGCCGCGCGGCGCTAATGACGCAGACTTGCCGGTCGCATCTGCACCCCATCAATTATTCTTACGTGTATTAATCGCATAATGGACCGGGGCCAGACTATGGGAAAACGACTTCGGCAGGCAGCCCGGGCGGCACATGTGTGCACCACGATAAATGTGTAGCGTACATTAAAGCCATAAATTACCGTATTGCACATATTGATAACCTGCGATCCCGCGACCGACATCGTAAAAAATCAATTTTCAATCGCCGAACACACAAAATACAGCTTAATTAATTTCGTTTTGCATGGAAATAGTTTTATTTTCGCTTTTGGAAATTAATTACACGGCGATTCGTTAATTTACATACATATGACTATGCGCCCCGTGCACGCGTAAATTATCTACGCAGCGCCGCCGCCAACCCGCCTTGTCGCAATCTTGCGTCCGCGGGGAGCTCGCGCGCGCTCGCCCACCCTCTTGCCCATTACCGCGCTCCGCCGCACGGACTAACTACTTGCGCAAACCCACCCACACCCACAGCCGGCTGCCGCCGCCCCTCGCGTCCAACATCCAATATTAAGCAGCCGCCGCGTGTGGGTGGACGACGCGAACGCGTTTCTATGTGTTTGTGTGTGTGTGTGAACGCGCGCAACAAACTTGGGGCCGCGCGCTCGAGCATGCACAGGCAGGAGAAACGCGTTCGCCGGGCCGCGAGTTAGGGTCGCGCCACTAATTAATATTACGTGGAGAGAGCGGCTGCGAGACGACGGACCGGACGCGCGCAC